ACTTTTCCAATGACACCTCACATGACTTATCTTGCATAAAATACTTCATAATTCTGTCATAATCCTATCCTAATAATATCAGTGTGCAGAATATGGGGCGCAATGTCACAACTTCCTCCTGGTAAGAACAGTACGATAGTGGAACAGACACCTAGGGAGGTTGGGGAAGCTCCTTCCCTGGAGGTTTCAAAAGGAGGCTGGAGCCGTCTGTCTGGGATGGTTTAAACACATCAAATCCTGTGTCTTGGCTGGGGGTCAGATAAGATGACCTTTGTGATCCCTTCTAACCCTTTGGTTCTGTGGTGCTATCTGACTAGCTGTATGTACTGTGACAAAGTTCCTGCTCTACCTTGGTGGGTCTTGCGCTTATTGGCGGATTTGCTCGCCTTGGAGCGTCACGGCAGCCCTCAGCGTGGCCGTTTTTCTGAACCCACAGTCCAGGTCGACGCCTCCTGTGTCTGACCAGGAGTTGGGAGGATTTGGGGGGAACCGGGCCCGCCCTCTACTCCGGGCTCCAGCCCAGGGCCCTGTGGAATGCAGCTGTCTAGAGTGCCTCCTGGAACAGCTGTGTGACAGCTACAACTCCCTGGGCTACTTCCCCATGGCCTCCTCCCAACACCTTCTTTATCCTCGCCACAGGACCTTCCTCCTGGTGTCTGATAATGCTTGTACACCTCAGTCCTCCAACAGCCCGCGTTCTCACTCTCGGCTCCTAGTGCCTCTTGCTCCCAGCTCCTCACACGCACATCACAAACTGAAGTGAGCTCCTTTTTAAACCCAGGTGTCCTGATTAGCCTGCCTTAATTGATTCTAGCGGCTTCTTGATTGGCTGCAGGTGTTCTAATCAGCCTGTTTTAATTGTCTCCAGAAGGTTCCTGATTTTTCTGGAACCTTCCCTGTTACCTTACCCAGGGAAAAGGGACCTACTTAGCCTGGAGCTAATACATCTGCCTTCTATTACTCTCCTATAGCCATCTGGCCCGACACTGTCACAGTACCTAAGGTTAAATCGCTCTTCAGTTGCAGCTGCTGGGAAAGGTTTTCTTCTATTAACAATAACCATCTTGTCTCTGATATTTTCCTGTTTTGCATTTCCAAAGTCATAGTTTTCAGCCAGTGTCTGCAGAGGTCTTATAAACTAGTTAGCGTTTCCCATTGGTTCTTGAACAATATTCTCAGACATATTGATGAACATAATTTGTTGAGGAAGAGTTAACATGGTTTTAGTAAAGGGAAATCACTCCTCACCGATCTACTAGAATTCTTTGAGGGGGTCAACAAGCATGTGGACCAAGGGGATCCAGTGGATATAGTGTACTGAGACTTTCAGAAAGCCTTTGACAAGGTCCCTCACCAAAGGCTCTTACACAAAGTAAACTGCCATGGGTTAAGAGGGAAGGTCTTCTCGTGGATTGGTAACTGGTTAAAAGATAGGAAACAAAGGGGAGGAATAAATGGTCAGTTTTCAGACTGGAGAGAGGTAAATAGTGGGGTCCTCCAGGGGTCTGGACTGAGCCCAGTTCTATTTAACATATTCATAAATGATCTGGAAAAAGGGGTAAACAGTGAGGTGGCAAAATTTGCATATGATAAAAAACTACTCAAGATTGTTAAGTCCCAGGCAGACTGCGAAGAGCTACAAAGGGATCTCACAAAACTGGGTGACTGGGCAACAAAATGGCAGATGAAATTTGGTGTTGATAAATGTAAAGTAACGCACACTGAAAAACATAATCCCAACTCTACGTATAAAATGATGGGGTCTAAATTAGCTGTTACCATTCAAGATGCATGCATCTGATGAAGTGGGCTTTAGTCCATGAAAGCTCATGCTCAAATAAATTTGTTAGTCTCTGAGATGCCACAAGTCCTCCTGTTCTTTTTGCTGATAGACTAACACAGCTACCACTCTGAAACTTGTCACTCAAGAAAGAGATCTTGGAGTCACTGTGGATAGTTCTCTGAAAACATCCACTCAATGTGCAGCGGCCGTCAAAAAAGCAAACAGAACGTTTGGAATCATCAAGAAAGGGATAGATAATAAGACAGAAAATATCATGTTGCCTCTATATAAATCCCTGGTATGTCCACAGCTTGAATACTGCGTGCAGATGTGGTCGCCCCATCTCAAAAAAGATACATTGGCACTGGAAAAGGTTCAGAAAATGGCAACAAAAATTATTAAGTGTCTGGAACAGCTTCCATATGAGGAGAGATTAATAAGACTGGGACTTTTCAGCTTGGAAAAGGGACAGTTAAGGGGAGATATGATTGAGATCTATAAAATTATGACTGGTGTAGAGAAAGTAGATAAGGCAGTGTTTTTACTTCTTCTCATAGCACAAGAACTAGGATCCACCAAATGAAATTAATAGGCAGCAGGTTTAAAACAAACAAAAGGAAGTATTTCTTCACACAACGCACAGTCAACCTGTGGAACTCCTTGCCAGAAGATGTTGTGAAGGCCAAGACTATAACAGGTTCAAAAAAGAAACTAGATAAATTCATGGAGGATAGGTCCATCAATGGCTGCTAGCCAGGATGGGCAGGGATGGCGTCCCTAGCCTCTGTTTGCCAGAAGCTGGGAATGAGCGACAGGGGATGGATCACTGGGCGATTCCCTGTTCTGTTCATTCCCTCTGTGGCACCTGGCACTGGCTACAGTCGACAGACAGGATACTGGGCTAGATGGACCCTTGATCTGCCCCAGTGTGGTCGTTCTTATGTTCTCTGGTGAAAACCTGTTGTTTCATAAATCACATTTCTCTGAGGTAGAAAATAGGCAGCGAGCGTAGCCAGAACCCCTTCATAGTTCGTCCCTTTGTGACTGTCTTCAGTGAAGTCGAAGGACTGAATGATCTGCCCTGCTTGCTTGCTTCCCCATAGCATTCATTAAGGAGGATACCTGAATATCTCCACTTTCTTTGTGGAATTTGTTTGCAATTCAAAATCTTTCAAAATGCTGCCTCCTCTGTCCTTTGGGAAGGTTCTTCGTGTTCCCCATAAGATCCTTTAACGCTCTGCTGGGTCTGGCTGAAGCTAGTTTTAAATAAGGTATTTTACACACGGTGCTACCTAGTGGCTGAGCACTATGTCGAGAAATTGTACAGTCAGTTACTTCACCACACTTTGGTTCATTATGAAATATCCTTGAGAGACCACATTACCAAAGGCAGTCACGTTTATTACTATAGTGCAGGGAAAAGGTTGGATGTGGTACTGGTCTTCGAGAAGGTGTCTCGTGCAGCAGTATCACGTACATCTTACGTAGAAGGTGGGTTCCCTGGTTACACATTTCGGCTGGAGTTATTTATACGATTGTCCAATTACACGTCTCGCTACATGTCACTAAAATCCAACCCTCAGCACGTCCCAGTTCCCTGGCCTGTTGTTCTGGTCCTTCTTTATCTTTGTTTTGGATGCTAGTGTTACAGAGCCACAGAATCGGTGCTACAACCCCAGCTTTGGAACAGTCTCTGGGACAATGGCCCCAAATTTTTCAGGGTTGTGTCCCCCCTTACCCCTGTCAGTGCCCCCACCCCCACCCTGAGCCAGGAGTGGGGCCGCAGCTCCAACGGGGGGAGAGGGGGTGCAGACAGTGGTAAGGGGGCCGAGGCTGGGGCTACAGCTGAGGGCAGGGCTGGGACTGGGAGCGGAGCCCTGGCTGGGGACCAAGGCCAGGGCGGGGCCAGGAGCGGAGCTGGGTGCTCCCTTCCCATCCCCTGTGGGGGTTGGCCCAGGCCCCAGCCAGGCCCCCCCATGGCCCTCTGTGCCCCCCTAGGGGAGCATGCCCCACAGTTTGGGGACCTCTGCTTTGGGAGGGGCCCTTCAGTGGGCCACACCCTCCGGGGTCTCACTTCCCCCAGGATGAGCCAAGCTGTCTCATCTCCTCCTCAGACTGGGCCCCTGGGGCTGCAGCCCCCTGCCCCACCCTGGGAGCCCTGGGCAGCGAGTCTGGGACAGACCCTGGGGGAGACGTGTCCTCTCCTCAGGGATCAGTGCCCCTCACCCAGTGTCTGCAGGGCCACTCACCCAGCGCTGTGAAACCAGGCGGGTTTATTGGTCTCCTGGCACACGGCCCAGGCAGCCCCCGGGCGGCCCAGAGAACTGACAGTTACAGCCCAGCCCAGCTGCAGTGACCCCCATGGTTCGCACTCTGTCTGTCTCTCCATCCAACCTCCTTGGTCAGACTCCAGGTGAGAGCCCGACTCCTTGCAGCCCCCAGCTCTTATCCCCCCACCGCCCCAGGCCTTTGTTCCCAAGCTGGGGGGTGCGGCTTGGCCCCCTGTGGAGCGGTGGGACCATCCATGGTGGTTGGTCGCCAGGTGTCCACGTCCCAGCCATTGGATCTGCCCTTGTCTTCTCAAGAGCTGCATGGAGATGGGACCTAAGGGCCCAGGCCGCCAGGCGCCATCCACACCTGTGTCTTCACCTGCCCTGACAGCAAACAGTCCCTTCCCCCCACTGGGGAACAATGCAGCATACAGGGGAAACTGAGGCACACATCGGCTTCTTAAAAATATTACCAAACTCTTCCCCCCTTTGTCACAACTAGCTTCCCGGCACTGGCCTGTGAAGGCGCCTCCCTCGCTGGTGCTGAGACATAGAACGAATGGCTCTTGATTTTGGCAAGTTTCCTGGGCCAAATGCTGACTCAGCACCTGGCGGAGTGATGGGTCCCTGGTGTAAGTGGCCAGGGTGATGGTGCTGGCCAGAGTGTATCACGGTTACCGTGTTTGTGCTCCGTGCACACCAATACCTGGCTGCATGGCGCGGCCCCTCTCCCTTAGTGATACGCTTTGCAGCTGTGCCAGCCAGTGCATGTGTGTATGCCAGCGTAGTGCTGCTTAGCGTGCCCTGGTGCCCGGCTGCCAGGCTGGTCCCAGCGAGCGCCCTGGGAAGGATAGGCCCGGGTCTGATAGGACGGGTGCTGGGGGGGGATTGGTGGGCGCTGCGGGGCGATGGGCAGGACTCATGCGCTTCTCTCCCCACTGCCACAGGGAGGGCGCCGGAGAACGCCGGAGGTGGCGATAGCAGGGGGATCGCAGACCAGGCTGATGCCAATGGTGGACGGAGGCAGAGCAGGGCCCAGCCCATTGTCCCCGAACCCCTCGCTAGTGACGAGGCCCTGCAGGTGCCCCATGTCCCTAAGTCACCCAGGTAACCCTTCAGGCGGGGCAGAGACAGCTCAGGATGGCCCTGCCTTTCCTCTTGGGACATCCCAGCCAGCCCGTATCCCCCTGGCACAAGGCCAGCCGTGGTGGGGGGCACATGCCAGCCCTGATCCATCTCTGGCAGGGGCAGTGTCTTGGGTTTCCAGGCGTCTGGTTATTGACTGGAACTCCCGGTCGAAAAGGGACCTTGGCGGCTCCAGTCAGCGCTGCCGATTGGGCCGCTAAAAGTCCGATTGGCTGCAGCAGCCAGCTCCACGTGGCTCCCGGAAGCAGCCAGCATGTCTCTCTGGCTCCTAGGTGCAGGGGTGGCCACAGGGGCTCCGCATGCTGCCCCTGCCCTGAGTGCCGTCTCTGCAGCTCCCATTGGCTGGGAACCTTGGCCAATGGGAGCTGCGAGGACAGCGCCTGCGGGCGAGGGACACGCGCAGAGCCCCCTGGCCGCCCCTGCGCTTAGGAGCTGGAGAGACATGCTGGCCACTTCCAGGAGCTGCCTGAAGTCAGCACCACCCGGCTGGAGCCCGCACCCCCTCCCTACCCTACCCCCTACCCCAGCCTGGACCCCGCCTCCCCACCCCACGTCCCTGCCCCCGCCTGGAGCCCATCCCTCCTCCCCCGCCCCAGGCTGGAGACCCCTCCCACACTCTGAGCCCCTCATCCCCATCCAGAGCCCTCACCACCACCACCCCCTTACCCTCTGCCCCAGCCTGGTGAAAATGAGCGAGTGAGGGAGGGACGGGGGATGGAGTGAGTGGGGCGCAGGGCCGCAGAGAAGGGGTGGGGGAAGGATGCTTGGTTTTCTGCAGTCAGTAGGTTGGCACCCCTAGCAGTGTCCCCAGCACAGAGGTGGGTGCGGTGGGGCTGGGGGCTGAGCCCTGGGGTCCTGCCGTGGCCCCTGCAGTGTTGCTAGGGGAGCAGCCAGTGTCCTGTCGCTGTGGCCAGGAGGATGCAGGATTGTGCTGGGACCTGCAGCTCTCGGGGGGCTCCCGCTGTGTGTACAGGGTTGTGGCGGGGACCGGGACAGCCCCGTCTAACCAGCCCCCCACCTCAGCAGGCCACTTCCCTGCACCTGGGCTGAGCGGGGTCTCAGGGCGTGGCCCGGTGGCTCTGCACGCTGGGGCCAACAGAAGGGACCGGTCCCACCTCTGGTCCCAGCCCCACCCGTCTCCCTCCTGTGCTCCCAGGGACCGCAGCCTGATTGCAGGGGCCGTGGAGCGCAATGACTTCCTGCGGCTCCTGGGCGAGGGCCAGGCAGACGCCATGGTGCAAAGCTTCATGCCCGCCTGGCACGGCCCGGGGCACACGGTGCTGGCCGAGGGCACTGATGGGGACGCCATGTACATCGTCGCTGGTGAGAGCCGGCCCTGCCCCGTGCGTGTGTGAGCCAGCCCAGCCCCGCCCTGCTCCATGTGCTCCAGCCCCGTCCCGTGCGTGTGTGAGCCAGCCCCGCCCCGCCCCGTGTGTGTGTGTGAGCGTGTGAGCCAGCCCTGCCCCGCCCCGCGTGTGTGTGAGCGTGTGAGCCAGCCCCGCCCCGCCCCGCCCTGTGTGTGTGTGTGAGCGTGTGAGCCAGCCCCGCCCCTCCCCGTGTGTGTGTGTGTGTGAGCCAGCCCCGCCCCGCCCCGTGTGTGTGTGTGTGAGCGTGTGAGCCAGCCCTGCCCCGCCCCGCGTGTGTGTGAGCGTGTGAGCCAGCCCCGCCCCGCCCCGCCCTGTGTGTGTGTGAGCGTGTGAGCCAGCCCCGCCCCTCCCCGTGTGTGTGTGAGTGTGTGAGCCAGCCCCGCCCCGCCCCGTGTGTGTGTGTGAGCGTGTGAGCCAGCCCCGCCCCGCCCCGTGTGCGTGTGAAGGAGTGTGAGTGCCTGGCCCCCCGGTGCGGGAACACGTGCGCTCCGTTCCCAAGCCCACCGTCCTCCGCTCCTGTCTGCAACCCGCACCCGACAGTCCTGCCCCGGGTGAGTCCTGCCCCAAGGGAAGGGGGGGAAGGGGCGGGTCCGTCTGTCCTATTTCAGGTGCTTTCCTTTGCAGAGGGCGAGCTGAGTGTGACCCAGCGCGGGTGCCACCTTCGCACGCTGCTCCCGGGGGATGTATTTGGGGAGCTGGCGATCCTGTACAACTGCAAACGCACAGCCACTGTCACAGGTGAGGGCTGGCGGCCGGCCCCGGCCCCCCACCCTGCCCCCTCTCCAGCTCCCGCCCCGGCCCCCCACCCTGCCCCCGCTCCAGCTCCCGCCCCGGCCCCCCACCCTGCCCCCTCTCCAGCTCCCGCCCCGGCCCCACCTTGCTTCTGCCCTGGCTTCAGACCCTGGCCCCACCGCAGCCCCAGCTCCACCCCCTGCCCCTGCCCCGGACCCTGGGCTCTGCCCCAACCCCAGAGGGCTGCAAACAACAGAGCCACTGCCCCGCTCCACCCCACTGCCCCCTGCCTCTCACCAGCACAGCTCTGGTGCTGCCCCACTGGACGTGGCTGCCTCCCTGGTGGTGGCAGGGCCGGGCAGTGCTGGGTCCCGTGTGAGCCTGGCTGAGGGGACAGAGCCGGGACCCCTCCGACCCCAGACTAACCCTTCCCCACAGCGCTCACCCAGGTCCGGCTCTGGGCCATCGACCGGCAGACCTACCGCACCATCGTCACCAGCCAGGCCAAACGCCGGCGGGCCGAGATCCTGGACTCCCTCAGAGAGTGAGTGGGGGCAGCCCCTCCGGGAGGGGAGGGGTGCGGGGGAGTGCCAATGGGGGGCAGGGCCCCTCAGGGATGGGACGGGGGGAGCACCCATGGGGGGCAGGCCCTTGGGCCATTCGGAGACTCCATGGCTGCCCTGAGGCCAGGCTCTCCCATCCCCATCCCACCCCCCATCCTCCTGGAGCCAGGCCCTGACCCCTGGCCCCACCCTCCCGCCTCAGACCTCACTCTGTTCCCAGTGCTGGGGCTGCCCCCTCCCTGGGCTCAGCATCCTCCCCACCTTGCAGGTTCCATATCTCCCCGCCCCTCCCCCGGGCTCAGTGCCCCACTCTGTCCCTCTCCACGGGGTCAGCGCCCCATTCCTTCCCCCCATGCGGTCCTTTAGCCCCATAAGCTTCAAGGCCAGAAGGCCCATCCTGATCCTCCAGTCCGACCTGCCCACTGCAACCCCCAGAACTCTCCCCCCGGCCCCACAATAGGCCCAGAGCCTCTGGCTGAGTCACTGACGTCCTCAAATCAGGATTTAAAAACTTCACGTGACAGAGACTCCACCATTCACAATAGTTCAAACCAGCGAGTGACCAGGGTCCCAGGCTGCAGAGGGAGGCGAGACCCCCCCAGGGTCCCTGCCAAGCTGACCCGGGGAAAATTCCTTCCCCGCCCTAAATCCAGGGATCAGTTAGACCCTGGGCACGTGGGTGAGACCCACTAGCCGGACACCTGGGAAAGAATTCTCTGCAGCAGCTCAGAGCCCTTCCCCCCCAGTGCCCCATCACCGGCCGTTGGGGAGATTTGCTGCTAGCGGTCGCAGATCAGCTCCATGCCATCGCAGACAGCCCCATCACACCACCCCCTCCATAAACTGATCACGCTGAGGCTGGAAGCCAGTTCGGGGTTTTGCCCCCACTGCTCCCCTTGGGCGGCTGCTCCAGAACTTCACTCCTCTGGTGGTGAGAAACCTCCATCTAATTGCAAGTCTGAACATGCTGATGGCTAGTCTCTAGCCGTGTGTTCCTGTGCCCACATGGGCACTTTGCTTCAATAACCCCTCTCCCAGCCCGGTGTTGATCCCTGGGGTGGATTTGGAGAGAGCAATCCCATCTCCCCTCGGCCTGCGTCTGGTCAGGCTAAACAAGCCGAGCTCGTTGAGTCTCCTCCCGTAAGGCAGGTTCTCCATTCCTCCCATCAGCCTCGTCGCCCTTCTCTGCACCTCTTCCAGTCTGGATTCATCGTCCTTCCCCGTGGCAGAGCAGCCCTGCCCACAGTGCTCCAGCTGAGGGGTCACTGGTGCCTCTTCCTGGTGTTGGGGTGATTCTCCCGCCTTCCCCCTTCGGTTCTTCCTGGCTGCAAGTCCTCTTGTCGTCTGTTCTCACTTGCAATCTCCTGCGAGTTGTCCTCTGTCCTCCTGGGTCCTACCACTGACTCACCCCCTCTTCTTGTGGGCCTCGCCACTCTGCACTTCTTCCTGGCCCCCTGCCTGCCGTGCCCCTGCTGAGCAGCGGTGGGGGCCGCCTGCTAAGGAAGGGGAAGTGTATCTTTGGATACTTGCTGGCTAGCCCAGTGAGGGCGTCTTTAAACTACGGGTTTCAGAGGAACAGCCGTGTTAGTCTGTATTCGCAAAAAGAAAAGGAGTACTTGTGGCACCTTAGAGACTAACCAATTTATTTGAGCATGAGCTTTCGTGAGCTACAGCTCACTTCATCAGATGTTTACCGTGGAAACTGCCAAACTACGTTAAACTACGTTCAACAGGGCAGGAGAGAAAAGCCCCTTGATAAGCCCAGAGACCTGTGCTGAAGGGTCAGACTCTGGGGGAAGCATGGGCCATCACGGCAGGGACAAAGAGAGACAAGAGGACTAGAGAGGGGAAATCGATTGCACCTCTTAGATGTCTGTGTGCTAATGCACGAAGTGCAGGAAATAATCAGGCAGATCTGGACATACTAGTGACTGATCCCAATTCCGACACACCTGGCCGCCCAGAGACACTAGTTCCCCTGACTGCTGTACTGGGCCAGAAGGGCACAGCCTGGTCAGCAAGGACAGGCCGGGCAAAAGGGAGGGAGTGTTTGATGTTGCTGTCTGCACTTGCCCTGAGGCTGAGGCAGGAGTGGGAGGCAAAGCTGCTGAAAAACTCCGGATAAAGATTAAAGGGGTAAAAAACAAGGGTGATGTCATGATAGGAGTCACTGACCCCTGGGGCCAGGCGACGCCCCAGCCTGGGAACAGTCCCTGGGAGGGGCCTGCAGTGACCCAGACCCCCGGGGTCTCGCTCTTTCCCCAGGGTGAGCCACGTGGTCTCACCGCCTCCTGATACTGGGCCCCTGGGCCTGCAGCCCCCCTGCCCCACCCGGGAGCTCCGGGCAGTGAGTCTGGGACAAATCCTGGGGGAGACGTGTCCTCTCCTCAGGGATCAGTGCCCCTCGCCCAGCATCTGCAGGGCCATTCACCCAGCGCTGGGAAACCAGGCGGGTTTATTGGTCTCCTGGCACATGGCCCAGACAGCCCCTCGGGTGGCCCAGAGAACTGACAGTTACAGCCCAGCCCAGCTGTTTGCATTTTCACTGACACCTCCGATCTGAGCCTGCTGGTTCACGTAGTTCAGACCCTGGGCTGGTGCAGGAACCGGGCTGGAGTTTTGTCCTCAGGTGACCCAGGCATTCCCCACAAGGACGTCAGAGCTGGTGACCTGGAGAACCCCGATTACCAGCCCCCCGCCCTGCCTGTGGCTGCCCGGGGCTCTGAGCCATAGGTGGGGCGAATGGCTCCCCACCTGGGCCCATTGCCCCGCTCACAGCCCTGCAGCGTTCGATGGGGTGGCACCACACAGGGTGTGACAAGGGGCCTCTGCCCCAGAATCTCCCCACCCCAGGAGGGTCTCCCCATTGGCCACCTCCCTTCGTTCCCCTGGGGGTCCGATGAGTCCGAGCCCCGGAGAGTCCAATGCGACACGTGCCTGGGGCCTGGAGTGGGAGCCCGTCTCCCCCCCCATGCCCCCGAGGACCTGGCTGGGTGGCTGCTTCCCTCCGACGGGTCAGTCGCATAGTGCCTCTGGGAGCCGGAGCTCCAGGCTGCCTTGGGTGGGCCTCTGTGCCCTGGGCTTTCCCCAGCTCACCCCTCACATGTTGTCTGGCCACTGTCCCACTCCCCCTTGGGCTTCTGCCCATGTAGGCCCTGTTTTCCTACAGACATCCCATCTCAGGGCTCTGAGACCCCTTGGAGGAGTCAACCCGTATCCTGCTCCCCCCTTTGGGTTTACGCCAGTCCCATTTCTGGGGCGCCTCCATGGTCCCTCTCCCAACACCCAGGCTTAGGCCAGTCCCCTTCGGGTCTCTCCATCCCTGGACTGACTTGCCCCAAAGGGATCTGCCCACCGGCCTGACGGCGCAGCCCCTGCGGCTTCCTGTCCACTACCCACGTTCTAGGCTCGTAGGGACTCATCTCCTGGAGTTGTTCTGATCCAGCTACATTACACAAATCCTCCAGTGCAGAGACCCGTGCCCCCACCCCATTTGTGGGGAGATCCTCCCAGCAGGGGGGGCTTCCATGTAGGTCACCCCCGGGTCTTCGGCACACCCCAAAACCTTTTCCCATAAGCCTCAGGTGCCCATTCAGAGTTGAGCAGTGGAGCCCGGTTGAACTGTTCCTAGTCCCCAGAATCGGCTCCGTCCTTCTGGCGGCGGGACCGTCACTCGCTCCGGGTCTTGGCGGCACCGCGGCGGCGGCGGGACCGTCACTCGCTCCGGGTCTTGGCGGCACCGCGGCGGCGGCGGACCGTGACTCGCTCCGGGTCTTGGCGGCACCGCGGCGGCGGCGGGACCGTCACTCGCTCCGGGTCTTCGGCGGCACCGCGGCGGCGGCGGGACCGTCACTCGCTCCGGGTCTTCGGCGGCACCGCGGCGGCGGCGGGACCGTCACTTGCTCCGGGTCTTGGCGGCACCGCGGCGGCGGCCGGACCGTGACTAGCTCCGGGTCTTGGCGGCACCGCGGCGGCGGCGGGACCGTCACTCGCTCCGGGTCTTCGGCGGCACCGCGGCGGCGGCGGGACCGTCACTCACTCCGGGTCTTCGGCGGCACCGCGGCGGCGGCGGGACTGTCACTCGCTCCGGGTCTTGGCGGCACCGCGGCGGCGGCGGGACCGTCACTCGCTCCGGGTCTTGGCGGCACCGCGGCGGCGGCGGGACCGTGAGTCGCTCCGGGTCTTGGCGGCACTGCAGCGGCGGCTGGACCGTGACTCGCTCCGGGTCTTCGGCGGCACCGTGCGGCGGCCGGACCGTGACTCGCTCCGGGTCTTGGCGGCACCGCGGCAGCGGCGGGACCGTGACTCGCTCCGGGTCTTGGCGGCACCGCGGCGGCGGCCGGACCGTGAGTCGCTCCGGGTCTTGGCGGCACTGCGGCGGCGGCCGGACCGTGACTCGCTCCGGGTCTTCGGCGGCACCGCGGCGGCGGGACCGTGACTCGCTCCGGGTCTTGGCGGCACCGCGGCGGCGGCCGGACCGTGACTCGCTCCGGGTCTTGGCGGCACCGTGGCGGCAGCGGGACCGTGACTCGCTCCGGGTCTTGGCGGCACCGCGGCGGCGGCGGGACCGTGACTCGCTCCGGGTCTTGGCGGCACCGCGGCGGCGGCCGGACCGTCACTCGCTCCGGGTCTTGGCGGCACCGCGGCGGCAGCCGGACCGTGACTCGCTCCGGGTCTTGGCGGCACCGCGGCGGCGACGGGACCGTCACTCGCTCCGGGTCTTGGCGGCACCGCGGCGGCAGCCGGACCGTCACTGCGGCTGCAGACACCCGGCGCGAGTCAGGGCCGGTCCCCGGAGCGCCGCTGGGCGAGTAGCTGCACCGCAGCGGGTGGCGCCTTTTCTTTGGATCGCTCCCCCGGTTCCCTCCACCTGGCTGCGCCCTGCTGCCGCCAGAACACTTTTAGCGTGGGGGTGCTGCAGCTGCACCTCGCCTTACCCCGTCCGTGCCCCCACCGCCCCGGGAGCTGGGCCGTGGCTCCAGGAGGGGATGCGGACGGGGTAAAGGGGCTGAGGCTGGGGGCGGGGGCGGAACCCCGGCATGGGAACAGCAGCCGGGGCTGGGAGCAGAGCCCTGCGTAACACCTAGGGGTGCTGCACCCCTAGTTCCCGACCTATGGCTGCCTCCGTCATTCTCGTTTCCTTCTGGAACCCCACTTGGGCCGGGGTGCCATTGGCAGGGCGCTGGGTCCCCGGGCTGGGTCCCATTGGCAGGGCGCTGGGTCCCTGGGCTGGGTCCCATTGGCAGGGCGCTGGGTCCCCGGGCTGGGTCCCATTGGCAGGGCACTGGGTCCCTGGGCTGGGTGCTGTTGGCAGTGGGTGCCAGTCCCCGGCTGGGTGCCGGCCAGGCCAGCATGCTGACGTGGCCCCGCTCTTCTCCCCAGGGCGCCATCGCTGCAAGGCCTGGCGGACGCTCAGCTCTCCAAGCTGCTGGACTGCATGGAGGAGGTAGGAGCCAGGGGCTGCGCAGTCCCACGGGCCCCACATGCTCCTCGCCTCCAGGGATGGGGCTGCCCCATGGCACTGACAGCAGCTCCCCGCCCCAGGGGCGGCACACGGGGATGGCTGGTTCCAGCCCTGGCTGGGGGCTGGGCCGGGTGTCAGGAACTGGTACATGGGAGGCTTCACTGGTTCCACGCTGGGCCCTGGGGCTGGCGACAAGCCTGGGCACAGGGGGGCGCAGGGCGAGGACCCCGTGCCCTGGCATAGGGCTGGGCCAATCCCTGGGTGCATCCCCCAGGGTCACCTGGGCACCTGCCCCGCCTTGTGGTGCCGGGCCTGTCCGTGTGTCCCTCCCATAGGGCTGGGCCTGTCTGTGTGTCCCCCCCCGTGGGGCCGGACCCATCTGTGTGGGTCTCGGTCTGTCTGTGTGTCCCTCCCATGGGCCCAGGCCCATCTGTGTGTTCCTCCCACAGGGCTGGGGCCGTCTGTGTGTCTGTCCTGCAGGCCCGGGCCCATCCGGGTGTCCCTCCCATGGACCCAGGCCTGTCCGTGTGTCCCTTCCGGGGGGCCGGACCTGTCCGTGTGGGACTTGGCCTGTCTGTTTGTCTGTCCCACGGGGCTTGGCCTGTCTGTGTGTCTCTCTGCATAGGTAGGGTGCCAGGTGTCCGGTGTTCGACCGGAAGGCCTGGTGGAAAAGGGAGCTGGCGGCTCCAGTCGGCACTGCTGACCGGGCCGTTTAAAGTCTGGTTGGTGGCGCAGCGGGGCTAAGGCAGCTCCCTGCCGGCCCTGGCTCCGCGCGGCTCCTGGAAGCGCCGGCATGTCCCCCTCTGGCTCCTAGATGCAGGGGCGATCAGGGAAGCTCCGTGCACTGCCCCCGCCCCGAGCACCAGCTCCGCTGCTCTCATTGGCCAGGAACGGCAGCCTGTGGGGCGGCGCCTGCAGGCAGAGTCAGTGGGCAGAGCCGCCTGGCCTCCCTCCACCGAGGAGCTGGATATGCCAGGCCGCTTCCAGGACCTGCGCAGAGCAAGGGCAGGCAGGGAGCCTCCCTGAGCCCCACTGTGCCACCGACTGGAGCCACCTGAGGTAAGCCCTGCCCGGCTGGAGCCCGCACTGCAAACCCCCTGCCCCAGGTTGGAGCCCACTCCTGGAGCCCGCACCCCCTCCTACGCCTCAACCCCAGCTCTGTGCCCTCTCCTACATCCCCACCCCAGAGCCTGCACCCCCAGCCAGAGCTCTCACCCCCTCCCACACCCCAGCCCTGAGCCCCCTCCCGCACCCAAACTCCCTAGGTCTGTCCATGTGTCCATCCTGCGATGATGGGTCTGTCCGTGTGTCCGTCCTGCAGTGCACATTCGCTCATGACGAGGTGATTGTTCGTGAACGGGACGAGGGGAATAACTTCTACATCATCCTGAGAGGAGAGGTGGGTCCAGCCCGCCCCGGGGCACTACACCACCCCTCCCCCCGCCCTGCCCAGGGCACTACCCCTCCCCATCCCCGGCCTGTTGGGGCAACAGCTCACGCCCCCTCCCTCTGACCCCGCCCCAGACGTTCTTGGGAAGCAGAACATGGGGTGCAGCCCCCACCTGGCACTCAGGACGCCTGGGTTCGATTCCCCATTCAGCCGGGCTAATGGGCCCAGGGCCTTGTCTCCCAGCAGCCCCTCAACCCCGCCAGCCTGGGCAGATCGCGGCCACACCTTCTTCTGGGGGCACCAGCAGGGGGCAGCCTGATGTGCACTGCACCCCGCCGCCTCCCCTGCCCCTCCAGCCCCCCCGAACTCGGTTCCTCTGCCAGCCCACGGGCCCCCTGCCCGCTCCCCTCCCCAATGTCCCAGAGCCCACCCCCTGGCTCGGCGGCCACACGGCTGGGATGGGCGGGGGCAGTTCGGGGGCTGGGAGGTGACTCTGGGGAGCCTGGAGGTCGGGGTACAGGTATGGCTCCTCTGCCAGCCCATGGGCCCCCTGCCCCCGCCCGTCCAGCCCCCCCAGGAGTGATGCCCCAGCCCCCATCTCCCTGCAGGTTCGGGTCAGCAGGCACGTGAATGGGCGGGAGGAGCCGATCCGGGTGCTGCGAGCCGGCGAGCACTTTGGGGAGCTGTCGCTGCTGCGGTAGGTGCCGCCCTGGAGCCCCTCGGCCCTGCCCAGCCGGCCCTGGCATGCGCACACCAGGGGCCCACCCAGGCGCTCACAGCCGGACGTGCAACACACGCACACCAGGGGCCCACCCAGGCGCTCACAGCCAGACGTGCAACACACGCACACCAGGGGCCCGGCACACACACACGCGCACACCAGGGGCCCACCCAGGCGCTCACAGCTGGACGTGCAACACACGCACACCAGGGGCCCGGCACACACACACGCGCACACCAGGGGCCCACCCAGGCGCTCACAGCCGGACGTGCAACACACGCACACCAGGGGCCGGCACACAGCGCACAGCGGGCCCCCCAGGCTCCACCGGACGTGCACACACCACCCACCCACCCAGCGCTCAAGCGGACGTGCAACACAGCACACCAGGGCCCACACACACACCACACCAGGGCCCACCCAGGCGCTCACAGCCGGACGTGCAACACACGCACACCAGGGGCCCATCCAGGCGCTCATAGGCGGACGTGCAACACAGGCACACCAGGGGCCCGGCACACACACACGCGCACACCAGGGGCCCACCCAGGCGCTCATAGCCGGAAGTGCAACACACGCACACCAGGGGCCCGGCACACACACACGCGCACAGCAGGGGCCCACCCAGGCGCTCACAGCCAGACGTGCAACACACGCACACCAGGGGCCGGACACACATGGACACCAGGGCACCCAGCGCTCACAGCCGGACGTGCAACACACGCACACCAGGGCCGGAACACAGCACCAGGGGCCACCCAGGCCTCCAGCCAGACGTGCAACACACGCACACCAGGGCCCGCACACACCACCAGGGGCCCACCAGGGTCAGGGACGTGCAACACACGCACACCAGCCGGCACACAACGGCTAGGCCACCCAGGCGCTCACAGCGACGTGCAACAACGCACACCAGGGCCGACACCGCCCAGCACCAGGCGCTCACACAGAGGCAACACAGGCCAGGCCCCACACACACCACCAGGCCCACCCAGGCCCACACCACTGCAACACACCCACAGGCCGACACACACACGTACACACCAGGGGCCCACCCAGGCGCTCACACCAGCGGCAACACACCACCAGGGCCCCACCCCCCCCCCCCCCCCCCCACACCCCCCCCCACACCCACACCAGCCCCCCCCCCCCCCCACCCCACACCCACCACCCACACACCCCCCAGCCACCACACCCACACACCACCCCCCACCACACCAGCAACACACCACCCAGCCCACACCCACCAGCCCACACACAGCCACCCCACCCACACACCCCCCACACCCCCCACAACACACCACAGCCCACACCACCCCCCACCCACCAACACCCACCAGCCCACCACCAACAGCCCCCCACACCACCAACACACCCACACACACACACACACCCAGGTGCCCCCACGCAACACACAGGGCCGGCACACAACCAGCCCACCAGCACTCACAGCCAGATGTGCAAACAGCCACAGGGCCTGCACACACAAGTGAACCAGGCCCGGCACACACACAGCGCACACCAGGGGCCCACCCAGGCGCTCACAGCCAGACGTGCAACACACGCACACCAGGGGCCTGGCACACACACGCGCACACCAGGGGCCCACCCAGGCGCTCACAGCCAGACGTGCAACACACGCACACCAGGGGCCTGGCACACACACACGCGCACACCAGGGGCCCGGCACACACACACGCGCACACCAGAGGCCCACCCAGGCGCTCACAGCCAGACGTGCTACACACGCACACCAGGGGCCCGGCACACACACATGCGCACACCAGGGGCCCACCCAGGCGCTCACAGCCAGACGTGCAACACGTGCACACCAGTGGCCCGGCACACACACACGCACACCAGGGGCCCGGGACACACACACGTGCACACCAGGGGCCCGGCACACACACACGCGCACACCAGGGGCCTGGCACACACACACGCGCACACCAGGGGCCCGGGACACACACACGTGCACACCAGGGGCCTGGGACACACACGCACACACCAGGGGCCCGGGACACACACATGCGCACACCAGGGGCCCGGCACACACACACACGCACACCAGGGGCCCGGCACACACACACACGCATATACCAGGGGCCCGGCACACACACACACGCATACACCAGGGGCCTGGCACACACACACGCGCACACCAGGGGCCCGGCACACACCGCACACCAGGGGCCCCGCACACGCACACGCGCACACCAGGGGCCCGGCACACGCACACCGCAGGGCCCATGTGGGCGCTCGCAGCCTGATGTGCACACGCCATATGTACACACTGCCTGGTGCTCTCCCCACCCCTTTCACACACACCCTGGCACAGGCAGGCCACCCAGTGTTTCTGCTCCCCACTCCCACACGGGCACTCCCAGCCCATGCCTGGGGTGCAGACCCACAGTCCCCCCCCAGTCCCCCGACTCCCTGTCCCCGTAGAGATGCCAAGTCTCCTGTCCCCACCTCGCACCCACACAGCCACCGCCGGCCTCCCTCACAACCTCTCTCCTCTCTGCAGCAACATCCGCCGGACGGCCACCTGCCGGGCGCACGGGGAGGTTGCCTGCATCACCATCACCAAGGAGTGAGTCAGCCCCAGGGGGTGGGAGCCCCACGCTAGGGGGCACTGTGGTGCAGAGGGGACTGACTTCAAGCCCTGCCCCGAGATGGCGCCACGGACATGGCTTGGCCCCCCTTCCTCCACAGGCCTGCTAGCCAGAGTAACTGGAGCCAGAGTAGGGGAGCCAGGACTCCTGGGTTCTCTCCCAGCTCTGGGAGGGGAGAGGAGGCTGGTGGGGTAGAGCATGGGGGGTTGGGAGCCAGGACTCCTGGGTTCTCTCCCTGGCTCTGGGAGGGGAGTGGGGGCTGGCGGGTATGAGTAGGGAGGGCTGGGAGCCAGGACTCTTGGGTTCAATTCCCAGCTGTGTGTGTGTGGGGGGGGGGAGTGATGGCTAGTGGTTAGAGTGGCAGGGGGTGGGGCTGGGAGCCAGGACTCCTGGGTTCTCTCCCCAGCGCTGCCACTGATTTGCTATGTGAGCTTGGCCAAGTCCCTTCATCTCTGCCCCTCCCTCCCCTTGTGTCTGGGTCAGGGGCTGCACTATGCCTTGGCTCCCATGGGCAGAGGCTGTTCCGGGGGGCTGGGTCCTTCCACCGGTCCTGCCAACACCTCCTGTCTCCTCCATCCCTGCAGAGACTTCCAGGAGATCTGCCCCTTCTGCCCCACGCCCAGGCAGCTCTCAGAGCCGTGAGTGTAACACTGCCCCTCCATGGGGCCAGGGATCTCCATGTGGCAAGGAGCAGCCAGGACCGTGGGGGGTGGGTGCCATGGGGAGGTGGGTGGCAGGGGGCCAGGAGGTGGGTGCCACACAGGAGCAGGGTGGCAGGGGGCGGGTGCCACACAGGAGCAGGGTGGCAGGGGGCCAGGGGGCGGGTGCCACACAGGAGCAGGGTGGCAGGGGGCCAGGGGGCGGGTGCCATGCAGGAGCAGGGCAGGGGGCGGGTGCCACGCAGGAGCAGGGTGGCAGGGGTCAGGGGGCGGGTGCCACGCAGGAGCAGGGTGGCAGGGGGCCAGGGGGCGGGTGCCATGCAGGAGCAGGGTGGCAGGGGGCTAGGAGGCGGGTGCCACGCAGGAGCAGGGTGGCAGGGGGCCAGGGGGCGGGTGCCAGGCAGGAGCAGGGTGGCAGGGGGCCAGGGGGCGGGTGCCACGCAGGAGCATGGTGGCCCTTGTCCTGACCCACTGATTGTTTCGTTCTCTTCTCCCTGCCAGAGACGTGGCTATGCTGGAGGCTCCATCGCTTCCTGAGCCTGGCCAGTGAGTCCCGGCCCCGGGGCCCCGCACAGACCCAACTGGCCCTTGAGGGATCCTTCCCGCTCCTCCAGGGTTTCCCTAGCACTGTCTCTCAGAGAGTCAGAAGTGTGGGGCTGGCAGGGACCTCGCGAGGGCACCACGTCCAGTGCCCCATGCTGAGGCAGGGCCGGGTGAACGTGGACCAGCTCTGACAGGGGTTTGTCCAATGTGTTCTTAACTCTCCAGTGCCGGGATCCCACGGCCTCCCTTGGGAGCGGGTCCCAGAGCTTCACTCCCCAGCCGTTGGACAGTTCTTCCTAGGCGCGATCCTCAATCTCCCTGCTGCAGATTTAGCCCATTGCTTCTCATCCTATCTGCCGGGGATGTGGAGAACGAGTGATCACCACCCTCTGTAGAACAGCCCTGAGCAGATCTGAAGACTGTTATCAGGTCCCCCCTCAGTCCCTTCTCTCAAGACTAAACAGGCCCAGGCTTTGTAACCGTTCCTCACAGGTCAGCTTCTCTGAACCTCTTTGTGATGGGTTTGGGCCCCTTAGGAAGCCCCCTGATGTACTGAGATATCCCTGAGTCTACCGGTTCTGCCAGCCTCGGCCCCCTTAACCTGTCCTGCTGAGCCCGGCTATGAAAGCCTCCCCTAACGCACACAGGCAGGGCCACCCCAGCTGCAGGTCAGCTCTGGGAAGACTCAGCTTCAGGGACGTGCTCCAGTGGTCTGGTGCACGCTCCTTTTGAGGGTACAAACACAAAGGTTTACGAAATGCAGCCCTCCCTCAGTGTGGAGAGAGGTGTGCACACTTCTGCCCTCCCCCCAGTTAGAAATGACAGAAACTGGGTTTAATAAACAAAGCCAATGTTATAAACCCTAAAAGGCAGATGCTAAGTGGTACAAGGGGTACACACAGAACAAAGCAGATTACTGACCAAAAGAAAACAAACACAAAGGAAGCTAGTTTCACTAAAGAAATTGGGAACAAATAACATTTCTCCCCCTAGATATTGTTGCAGGCGGGTTGCAAAGTTTCTGTGGTTCAGAGTTCCAGTGATATTCCTTTTCAGACGGGACCCGTCTCAGTCTGGACTCCCCCCGCCTCCCCTTCACCCGTCTGTCTTCTTGGGCAGACAGGCCATGGCGAGGAAGAGTCCCATTTGCCTTCCTCCCCACCCTTCAATAGCATTTACATAAGGCGGGAATCCTTTGTTTCCCAAACTTGACCCCCCCTTCCCTTCCCGTGGAAAGTTACCAGAAGTCCCAGGTAATGTTTAGTGTCCAGTGACAAGACCACCTGCCTCTGTAGGATCACAGCGCCCGTGAGTCACTGGCAGCGTGGAGCGTCCCCAGGAAGGCCGAGGCTTTCACAGCCCATCGGCCTCGCTGATGGGCCAGCCGCCCTGTCTAGCCTTTCCATGGGTGTACCTGAGATGTTAGCAGTGGGCATCACCCGAAGCAGCCTAGCTGAAAGAGATACATAGTCACTATTCCTAACTTCAGATACAGAACTGGTACAGATTGGATAATTCTCCCAGTCCTGATCCCCCCTGCCCTGACCCCCCCCACCCTGAGGCTCCCCTGCCCCCATCCCCGCCTCTGCCCAGCCCTGATCCCCCCACCTCCCCAGCAGGCACTCAGGTGTTTCTGTTCCAGCACAGTGCAAGGTACAGGTGCCTTCTGACAAACCCGCTGCCCCTGGCAGCAGCACCTGGGCCCTTCCCAGGGCTTCCCAGGGCCCTGCCCATGAAAGGTGGGGCTGGCCCAGCACTGGCTCAGCTGTGGCCAGGTGCGGAAGGGGATCAGGCTGGCCTGGCAGCGCTGGGGCAGGTTGGGGCAGTAGCTGCCCCCTGGGAGCAGGAATGGGGAAGCAAGCCAGCCGGAAACCCCCAGGAGGCTCCCCCAGGTGAGGGGAAGTAATGGGGGGTTGGGGTGAGAAGCTGTGGCTGCCGCAGGGCAGTTTGGGGGTACTGCCAATGGGGGACTGGGGAAGGCCCTGCACCCCAGGACAGCTGTGCAGGGAGGGGTTTGGAGCTAGAGGAAAGACTAGCTGGGGTGGAGGGTCCTGCACGGTCCCGGGGGGCAAGGGACTGGAAAGGGGGCTGGCTGGCTTTGGGATCTTGCCCCGAGAGCTTCCATGTATAAGTCAGACCCAGTGGCTTATGGACCCTGCCTGGTTCTTAGACACCCCCAATGTCTGCTTGCGGGACCCTTACCTGCCCCAGCCCCCCATGGCTGTCCTGCCTTGCCCCTGTATCCCCATCCTGCTGCCCCCCCCATGTCCTCCCTTCCCACACTCCCCACCTTCTCCTCCCCCCCGCCCTGCCGGCAACTGCTCAGGCCACTGCAAAATGGTGGCCCCATTGTGCCCAAGATACGCTGGCGGGTAGGGATAGGGTCCAGAGTGACCTAGACAAATCAGAGGATTGGGCCAAAAGAAATCTGATGAGGTTCAACAAGGACAAGTGCAGAGTCCTGCACTTAGGACAGAAGAATCCAATGCACCGCTACAGACTAGGGGCCGAATGGCTCGGCAGCAGTTCTGCAGAGAAGGACCTAGGGGTGACAGTGGACGAGAAGCTGGATATGAGTCAGCAGTGTGCCCTTGTTGCCAAGTCGGCCAATGGCATTTTGGGCTGTATAAGTAGGGGCATGGCCAGCAGATCGAGGGACGTGATCGTTCCCCTCTATTCGACATTGGTGAGGCCTCATCTGGAGTACTGTGTCCAGTTTTGGGCCCCACACTACAAGAAGGATGTGGAAAACTTGGAAAGAGTCCAGCGGAGGGCAACAAAAATGATTAGGGGTCTGGAGCACGACTTATGAGGAGAGGCTGAGGGAACTGGGATTGTTTAGTCTGCTGAAGAGAAGAACGAGGGGGGATTTGATAGCTGCTTTCAACTACCTGAAAGGGGGTTCCAAAGAGGATGGATCTAGACTGTTCTCAGTGGTAGCAGATGACAGAACAGGGAGTAATGGTCTCAAGCTGCAGTGGGGGAGGTCTAGGTGGGATATTAGGAAACACTATTTCACTAGGAGGGTGGTGAAGCACTGGAAGGGGTTCCCTAGGGAGGTGGTGGAATCTCCTTCCTTAGAGGTTTTTAAGGTCAGGCTTGACAAAGCCCTGGCTGGGATGATTTAGTTGGGGCTGGTCCTGCTTTGAGCAGGGGGTGGGACTAGATGACCTTCTGGGGTCCCTTCCAGCCCTGATCTTCTGTGACTCTATGATGCTATGAAGGGTGGGCCTGTGGCCTCAGGCCCCCTGAGAACAATGGGGGACGTTTTTCACAGGGCAGAAAGCCAAGAACCCTAGATTCCCTTGAGCCGTTTCCCCTTGATGGGAGGGAAGGAGTCTGTGACTCAGGGCCGCAGCTGAGTGTGTGGGGCGGGTTGGGGTCCCAGCCGTAGGGGACAGGCGCTCAAGCTCCCAGAGACCCCCCCAGCTGCCATTCCCCGCTGCTGGGCAGGCAGGAGCTGGTGGCCTGGCTGGGTCCGGTGCTTGGCACGTTGTGCGTTGGGCTCGTCGGGCTCATCGGGGCGGCTGGGGGCCGGTTCTGGTTCTCATCATGCCCTAGTGCCCTTTTCCCGGGCGGTCTCTCCCTGGCCCCTAGGGTAGGTGGGCCAAGGTGGGGTGGGGTCATGGCGGGGCAGGCGCCGTCCATGTGTCCGACCTCTCACCGTGGGTCGCTCCCCCACAGCGCCCCGGGCCCCGAGACAGCCCTGGCCCCGCTGCGGCTCCAGGACCTGGCGGCTGTGCGCTACGAGGACGGGCAGCACCATGGCCTCCCCGTGGTCTTGGGCACCGGCGGCTTTGGCAGAGTTGAGCTGGTGAGACCAAGCAGCCCCTCCCGCCAAGCGCCAGTCCTGGGGGGCAGAGCTGCAGGGGGGCAGAGCCCTCACCCTACCAGCCTGCCTTGCCCAGCCTGGAGGCGAGACCCCAGTGCCTGGCCCCCTCACGCCCTGCTTGCCCCCAGGTGCGCGGGCGGGGGCAGCTCTTTGCCCTCAAGCGGATCCGCAAGGACCACGTGGTGCGGAGGCGGCAGCAGGGACACGTGCACATGGAGAAGCGGGTGCTGGAGCGGAGCCGCTGCCCCTTCATCGTGGGGTAGGCGCTGCCCGGGGCCCTGGGCTGGGGGCAGAGCACGGGGGGGCAGCGAGTGCCGTGATGCCCCCGGGCGGAGGGGCACTGGTGGGTTGCTAGGGGTGGGGGCTGCCCCTGGGGGTGGGGAGCACTCGGGGGGTTGCTCTTGGGGGCACTGGTGGGGTTGCTCAGGGGGGGCTGCCCCCAGGAGTGGGGGGCACTGGTGGGGTTGCTCGGGGGGGCTGTCCCCGGGAGTGGGGGGCACTGGGAGGATTGCTGGGGAGGCACTGGCAGGGATGCTGTGGTGGGGAGGGGGTTGGAGGCTCCAGTTTAACCCCTTCTCACCCTCTCCCCTAGGCTCTTTGGCACCTTCAAGGACAGCCAGTACGTCTACATGCTGCTGGAGTTCTGCCAGGGGGGCGAGCTGTGGACCAAGCTGCGTGAGGTGTACGGAGTGGGGGGCTGGCGGGGGACCAGGGGGGCTGTGTGGCAGGCTGGCAGATGGAGCAGGCACGGCTGGTGGCAGTGCGGGTGTGGCTGTGGCAGACATGGGTGGGTGCGGGGTGGGCGGAGAGCGGGCTGGCAGGTGGTGTGGGCGGGGCCATGGCAGAGTGGCTGGGGACGGGCGGGGCCATGGCAGAGTGGCTGAGGGCGAGTGGGGCTGGCATGGGGTTGCTGGGGGCGGGCGGGGCCATGGCAGGATGGCTGGGGGCGGGCAGGGCTGGCGTGGGGTTGCTGGGGGCAGGCGGGGCCGTGGCGGGGGCTGGGGGCGGGCGGTGCTGGGGCGGGGTTGCTGAGGGTGGGCGGGGCCATGGCAGGCTTGCTGGAGGGTAGGGGGCAGCGCTGACAGGCGGTGCGGGCAGGGTTGCTGTGTGGCTGGCTGGCAGGTGGTGTGGGCGGGGCCATGGCAGGGGGGCTGGGGGTGAGTGGGGCTGGCATGGGGTTGCTGGGGGCGAGCGGGGGCGTGGCAGGGGGGCTGGGGGTGAGTGGTGCTGGCATGGGGTTGCTGGGGGCGAGCAGGGCCGGGGCGGGGTTGCTGGGGGCGGCTGGGGCCATGGTTGGGTTGCTGGAGCGTGGGGGGCAGTGCTGACAGGCGGTGCGGGCAGGGTTGCTGTGTGGCTGACTGGCAGGTGGTGTGGGCGGGACCATGGCAAGGGGGCTGAGGGCGAGCGGGGCTGGGGCGGGGTTGCTAGGGGTGGGCGGGGCCATGGCAGGGGGGCTGAGGGCAAGCGGGGCTGGGGCGGTGTTGATGGGGGCAGGCGGGGCCATGGCAGGGGGGCTGGAGGGTAGAGGGCAGTGCTGACAGGCGGTGCGGGCAGGGTTGCTGTGTGGTGGGCTGGCAGCTGGCGCGGGCGGCTGGGGGCTAGGAAGGGCTCAGGCTGGGGACTGTGCCTGTGGGGGCCGTGCCGGCCAAGGGCACAGGGTGGGCGTGTGGGCACTGAGCTGTCCTGCCCCCCAGGCGCTGCCTCGAGGAGGAGGTGGCCGTGTTCTGCTCGGCCTGCGTGGTGGAGGGACTCGACTACCTGCACGGCAACGGGATCATCTACCGGGACCTCAAGCCCGAGAACCTGATGCTGGACAAGCAGGGCTACATCAAACTGGTACTTGGGGGCAGCACTGGGGCACTAGCGGGGGAGATGCCCGGGTCGGCCCTGCTAATCCTGGCACTGGGCTGAGGCCTGGGGCTCAGCCCCTCCTGGAGGCTCTGGGGGGGCGAAGGGCAGGACCCGGAGCTCAGGGAGGACCCGTTCCCAGCCGGGTGGGTGCCAGGGAGGGCTGGACGCTGCCAAAGCAGAGGTAGGGCTTTTGGGCCAGTCAGGCCCTCCCTGTTCCCTGGGCCTGCACTGTGCCCTCCTGAAGGGGAGGAGGGGGAGCTGGATGGCACCATGCCAGTGCCATGGAACGCCGGCTCCCTGTGCGGTGGCCGGAACAGCGAACAGGCGCCAGGCCGCACACGGACCGGGTGTAACGGGGCTGCCCGTGGGAGCCAGCTGAGGTCAGTCAGTCAGGGTGAACTGCAAACAGAACAGGGCGGACAAACCCCAAACGCTGGTGGATATTCCACTACTTAGAGTTACCCAGCCAGCCCAAACCAGCTTCTCCAGCACCTCCCTGGGTACTCAGATGTCCAAACAACGCAGTGCCCTTAAAGTGCCCAGCCGCAGGCCTCCATCCAGACACACATGTCAAACATAGGATGCTAAATTCTGAAAATCTTATTTCATCACAGAAAAGAAAAGATTCTCCTGACCCCAAAGGACCAAGCCCCAGACCCAGGTCAAATGATAACTCAGATCTTACCCCAAATACACGCTTACAGTCAATCCTTAGTAACTAAACTAAAATCTATTAAAAATGAAAAGAGGGAGAGTTAGTGGAAAGATCAATATACAGACTTGAGTTCAGTTCTTGAGGTTCAGATACAGAGCAGAGATGGTGAGTCTGTAGTTGCCAAAAGTCCTTTTAGAAATAGTCCACGGGTTACAGTCCAATGTCCATGTTCAGGGTGACTCCAGTCAGTGACTGGGGAACTCAATCCTTATGGCTCAGGGTTTCCCCTTCTTGAAACCCAAAGCAGATCGGAGATGAAGAAGGATCGTGTCCCAGGGTTTTATACATTCCCTGCAGCCTTTTGGCCTGAGAAAACAATCGGCTTCACTTTCCTTCTCCTAAACATCCTGGCAATTAGCCCAGGGTCATTTATCCATTAAACAGTTCAGATACCGGTTACCACAACCTTCAAAGAGCCATATAGACAGTAATACCATGTCACTCCAGTGTCTTCCTAAATGTTAATATTCCTCTTTTGATCTTTGAATCAAAGCCATGGTAATAGACAAGACTTGTTTGCTGACATCAGGAGACCTGAGCACACAGCTCCCCTTCTCTCTCACACAATGCCGGCTGCATTTCACAGCTCTGTTCATTTACAGATCCTTCTAACCAGTCTTTACAGTCCGGCCCTGGGTCAGGTCAGTCTGGGAGTTCATTAACTCTTTCTGGCCCTGTGTCACCTTTCAATGAGATATTATATTACACTCCTAATGTTACATCGGGAACAACAGGAACAGTCCCCAAGCATTGCCCAGCCCCATGGGGCCCTCTCCAGGCTCTGGCTGGGCACCTGGTGCCAGGGCAATGAGCAGGACGGGGCGTCTAGGCTGGGCAGGAGGGAGACGAGGCAGGAGAGGGGAACGGGACTGCAGTTGAACATGAGGAGATGTGATGGGGGGGCAATTGGGGGCTAATGCTATTCCCCCCGGTCATCCCAAGCTCAGAACCAGGGATGGCTGGTGAATTGGAAAGGTGCCAGATGGAGCTGTGGTCAAAGGAAGTGCCCTTGGTGCATGGCACTAACCTGTGGAACTCCCTGCCACATGACCATGGAGGCCTAAGAGGAGCAGGATTCAGGGAAGGGAAAGCCCTTCTGTCAGGGCTCCACAGGGCCTTGCTACAACCCTAAGCTGGGAACAGTCTCTGGGGGGGCTCTTCAGTGGGCCACATCCCTACAGGTCCCACTCTTCCCCTGGGGTGAGCGACACGGCCTCACCTCCTCCTTAGACTGGGCTCTGCGGCTGCAGCCCCCCTGCCCCACCCTTGGAGCTCCAGGCAGTGAGTCCAGCTGGGACAGACCCTGGGGGAGACGTGTCCTCTCCTCAGGGATCAGTGCCCCTCGCCCAGTGTCTGCGGGGACACTCCCTCAGCGCTGTGAAACCAGGCGGGTTTATTGGTCACCTGGCACACGGCCCAGGCAGCCCCTCGGGCGGCCCAGAGAACTGACGGTTACAGCCCAGCCCAGCTGCAGTGACCCCCTTGGTTCATGCTCAGGCTGGCTGGCTCCCTTCCTCAGTCAGCTCCTGGTGAGAGCCCCCAACTTCCTGCAGAGCCCCCCTGAGCCCTCCTCCCACCTCCCAGGCCTTGCTCTCAAGTGGGGGCCTCTACCCAGCTCCCGGGGGTTGACAGGTTGGATCACAGAAACCCCTTGGGCCTGCCAACTGATGTTCCAAGACTACTTCTGCCCCTGCTTTCCCTGCCAGCCTGGGACTCCAGCACCCTGCCTGGCTGAGCCAGACACGCCCGTCTGCTCCAGCACAGACCCAGGGTCTGAGCCACGCACCCCAAAGCAGCAGACTTAGCTGAAAGCAATTTAAGAAATGTTCCTGTGTTTAACACTCAGATGCTCAACTCCCAATGGGGTCCAAATCCCAAATAAATCTGTTTTACCCTGTATAAAGCTTATACAGGGTAAACTCATAAATTGTCCACCCTCTGTAACACTGACAGAGAGAGATGCACGGCTGTTTGCCCCCCCAGGTATTAATACATACTCTGGGTAAATTAATAAGTAAAAAGTGATTTTATTAAATACAGAAAGTAGGATTTAAGTGGTTCCAAGTAGTAACAGACAAACAAAGTGAATTATCAAGCAAAGTAAAATAAAACACACAAGTCTATGTCTAAGAAAACTGAATACAGATAAAATCCTCACTCAGTAAACTTCCTTTTACAGACTAGCCTCCTTCTAGTCTGGGTCCAGCAATCACTCACACCCCCTGTAGTTACTGTCCTTTATTCCAGTCTCTTTCAGGTATACTTGGGGGTAGAGAGTCTCTCTCTTTAGCCAGCTGAAGACAAAATGGAGGGGTCTTCCACGAGCTTAAATAAACTTTCTTTTGTGGGTGGAGACCCCCTCCTCTCTCCTATGCAAAGTCTAGGTCCAAGATGGAGTTCTGGAGTCACTTGGGCAAGTCATGTCCATGCAGGACTCAGAACTTACCGGGAGCATCCATTGCCCACAAGGTATCTTGAATGTCTCCAGGAAGACTTATGTGGATTGGAGCCTTCCGACGTCCATTGTTTGTTAAATGCTTCTTGATTGGGCACTTAATCTGCACATTCCTTTCTCAAGAAGCTGACCAAATGCTTTACAAAGGCTACTTGAAAGTCAAGCCAGTACCCAGCCAATATTCCTAACTTCGAATACAAAATGGATACATGCATACAACTAGGAGGAATAGATTCAGTAGCTCATAACCTTTACAGAGATATGTTACATGGCATATGTAGCATAAAACATATTCTAGTTATGTCATATATACATTCCTAAGCATATTTCCATAGAGCCTTGTGGGGGGCACTGTCATGGGGGAAATCCCCCGAATCAGTGAGCTGCCATGGCCTGTTTCTGCCCCCTTGCTGAGCTGGGTCTGTTTCAAGCAGCCCCTTAACGCCTCCTTGCCACAGCCAGCCGGCGCGGCGACCCCCAGCCCAGGTCTCTAGGCCCGGCTGGCCCGGCGGGGGGGCTCTGCTGGCTCACGCCTGCCCATTGGCAGGTGGATTTCGGCTTTGCCAAGGAGCTGGCGCGTGGGGAGAAGACCTACTCGTTCTGTGGGACCCCCGAGTACCTGGCGCCTGAGATCCTGCGGCACGAGGGCCACGACTTCGCCGTCGACTTCTGGATGATGGGCATCCTCATCTTCGAGATGCTGGTGGGCCGGTGAGGGACCCCGCGAGCCATCCTTCCCCTGCCTGGGACCTCTGAGGTGCCCCCCGGGGGTCAGCCCCTGCCCCCACCTGTGCCTGGGTGACCTGCAGCCCCCCCGGGGGTCACCCCCTGTCCCCCGAGCCTCAGATGCCCCACAGGGGTTAACCCACCTGCCCCCACCTGAGTAGCAGGAGTCACTTCCCCAGGAGTGGCCCATCAGGGGTGGGCAGAGGTGGGGGTATTCCTCTGGAACAGCCCAGCCCATGGGGGAGGGGGAATGGCCTGCTGGGTGGGGGAGCGGGAGAGTGTAGGGGGATCCCCGGGGGGGGTCCCAGGAGTGGCCTGCCGGGAGGGGGAGCAGAGAGTGTAGGGGTGTCATGGCGTGATGGGGAGTCGGGGCCCTGCACCCCCACTTTCTACGATTCACCATGACTCTCAGCCAACCAGTAGAACAAAAGGTTTATTAGAGATGACAGGAACACAGTCCGGACCAGAGCTTATAGGCATAAACAGGACCCCTTCGTCAGGTCCTTCTGGGGGGCAGGGAGATTAGTCCCCAGCTCTGGGGGTTCCCTCCTCTTCCCCAGCCTACTCCAAAAACAAAACCCCTCCAGCCGACTCCCCCAGCCTTCCCCCAGCTCCTCCCCCAGCCTTTGTCCAGTTTCCCGGGTCACCTGGACCCAACCCCCCTCCCGGCTCAGGTGACAGCCAGTGAAGTCACCCCCTGCTATCTCATCACCGGTCAGACAGTGGCAGTAAACTCCCCTGCCACATTCCCAGGTCAATCCGCCCCACTCAGTCCCTGCTGCGTCCCATCTCTCCCCACTTCGAGACTGAACTGAGCGTGGTCACTCTGACCAGTGACCTGGGGAAGTTCGGGGCCCCCTCTCCGGGACAGCGCATCCGCTATCAGGTTGGCCCTTCCCTTCATGTGGACCACGTCCATGTCGTAATCCTGCAGGAGCAGGCTCCATCTCAGGAGCTTGGCGTTGGCTCCTTTCATCTGGTGCAGCCAGGTCAGGGGAGAGTGGTCGGTGTAGACGGTGAAGTGTCGCCCGAAGAGATAGGGCTCTAGTTTCTTGAGGGCCCACACCATGGCCAGGCACTCCTTCTCAGTGGCTGCGTAGTGTTGCTCCCGGGATAGCAACTTCTTGCTCAGGTACACGATGGGGTGTCTCTCCCCCTTTTCATCCTCCTGCATTAACACCGCCCCCAGTCCCATGTCGGAGGCGTCGGTGAACACCACAAAGGGCTTGTCAAAGTCTGGGTTTGCCAGAACTGGGCCACTGATCAGAGCCTCCTTCAGCGCCCGGAAAGCCTCCTGGCACTGCTCGGTCCAGACCACCTTGTCTGGCTTCCCCTTCTTGCCTAGCTCAGTGATGGGGGTGGCTATGGCGCTAAAGTGGGGCACAAACCTTGGATAGTATCCTGCCATCCCAATAAAGGCTTGGACCTGCTTTTTGGTGTGGGGAGCGGGCCGGTCTCTGATCACCTCCACCTTGGCTGGTTCTGCTTTAGGCGGCCGCTCCCCAGTCGATGGCCCAGGTAAGATACTTTGGCCATTCCCACCTTGCACTTCTCCGCTTTTACAGTCAGCCCAGCCCCCTGGAGTTGGTCCAGCACTTGTCTAACCTGGGACACATGGTCCTCCCCGGTCTGGCTAAAGACACAGATGTCATCAATATACGCCACGGCAAAACTCTCCATCCCCCTCAGGAGCTGGTCCACCAGGCGCTGGAAGGTGGCCGGCGCTCCCTTGAGGCCGAAAGGCAGGGTCAGGAACTCATAGAGCCCCAGAGGCGTGATAAAGGCCGATTTCAGCCGGGCATCTGCATCCAGCGGCACTTGCCAGTAGCCCTTTGTAAGGTCCATGGTGGTGGTAAGGTACCGAGCTCCTCCCAGCTTGTCTAGGAGCTCATCAGGCCTGGGCATGGGGTAGGCATCAGATACTGTGATGGCATTGAGCTTCCGATAGTCCACACAGAACCGGACCGACCCGTCCTTTTTGGGGACCAGCACCACCGGCGAGGCCCAAGGGCTGGCAGATGGCTGGATCACCCCCAAAGCCAGCATGTCCCAGACCTCTCTTTCCAGGTCCTGAGCAGTTTTCCCTGTGACTCGGAACGGGGAGCATCTTATCGGTGGGTGCGACCCTGTCTGCACCCGGTGGACAGTCAGATTAGTGCGTCCAGGCTGGTTGGAAAACAGCTGTCGGTACGGACGCAGCACCCCCCTGACCTCAGCTTGCTGGGCAGGGGTTAGCTGATCCGAGAGGGGAATTGTTTCCAGGGGGGAACCAGCTCTGGTCCCAGGGAATAGATCTACTAAAGGGTCATCTCCCTGCTCCTTCCACTGTCCACACACGGCCAACACCACATTCCCCCTGGCATAATATGGCTTCATCATATTCACATGGTACACCCGGCGGTGGTGCGCCCGGTTCGACAGCTCCACCACATAGTTTACCTCCTTGAGCTGCTTGACGACCTTGAAAGGGCCCTCCCAGGCGGCCTGTAGTTTGTTCTTTCTCACGGGGATGAGAACCATCACCGGATCCCCGGTGGCGTAGGCACGGGCCCTCGCCGTGCGGTCATACCAGACCTTCTACTTCCTCTGGGCTCTGGCCAGATTCTCCCTGGCCAGGCGCATGAGTTCAGCCAGTCTCTCTCGGAAGATCAGGACATACTCCACCACTGACTCTCCATCGGGAGTGGCCTTCCCCTCCCACTCGTCTCTCATCAGGTCCAGGGGGCCCCTCACCCTCCTGCCATATAACAGTTCGAAAGGCGAAAATCCGGTAGACTCCTGGGGCACCTCCCTGTACGCGAACAGCAGGTGAGGTAAGTACTTGTCCCAATCCTGCGGGTGCTGGTTCATAAAGGTTTTCAGCATCATCTTTAGCGTCCCATTGAACCTCTCCACCAGCCCATTGGACTGGGGGTGATACGCTGAGGCCCAGTCGTGCCGGACCCCACATTTCTCCCACAAGCACCGGAGCAGGGCCGACATGAAGTTGGAGCCTTGGTCTGTCAAGACTTCCTTGGGGAACCCCACTCAGCTGAAAATGGTCAGGAGCGCATCGGCCACGGTGTCTGCTTCAATGGAAGCTAAGGGCACTGCCTCGGGGTAGCGGGTGGCAAAATCTACCACCATCAGAATGTATTTCTTCCCCGACCGGGTCGTCTTGCTGAGAGGCCCCACGATGTCCATGGCCACCTTCTGGAAAGGCTCCTCTATGATGGGCAAAGGTCTCAAAGCCGCTTTCCCCTTGTCCCGGGCCTTCCCCACCCTCTGACAGGGGTCACAGGATCGGCAATACTGCCGGACCGTGGTAAAGACCCCGGGCCAGTAAAAGTTCTGTAGCAACCTCTGCCGGGTGCGCCGGATTCCCTGGTGCCCTGCGAGGGGGGATGTCATGGGCCAGGGACAGGAGCTTGCGGCGATACTTCTGGGGGACCCCCAGCTGCCTCCTGATCCCACAGGACTCTACTTCCCTTGTGGGAGCCCATTCTCGGTACAGGAACCCCTTCTCCCACAGGAACCTCTCCTGGCAGCCTCTCCTCATGGTCCCTACCACACCGAGGTCGACCAGGTCCCTGAGCTTCCTCAAGGAGGGATCTTTCCTCAACTCGGCCTGGAACTCAGCGGCTGGGGAAGGGATGGGGCCCGGTTCCCCCTCAGTGGCCAGGTCTGAGGCCTCCGCCTCTCTGAGCCGTGCCCCTCGGCGCTCCCTCCCCACCAGGGAAGGGTCCTGCACCTCCGGTGTGGTACCCTCCCCAAGGTCAGGGTGCAGTGCCCCTCACTGGCTCTGGCTACGGGTCACAACCAGGGCGGTCTGGGGCTTGCTTGGCCAGTCCTCTAGGTCTCCCCCCATCAAAACCTCAGTGGGCAAATGGTGGTGTACCCCCACATCCTTGGGGTCCTCCTTGGCCCCCCATTTCAGGTGTACCCTTGCCACGGGCACCTTAAATAGGGTCCCGCCCACCCCTGTCAGGCTCAGGTAGGTGTTGGGCACCACCCGATCTGGGGCCACCACCTCGGGCCAGGCCAGCGTCACCTCCGCGCCCGTATCCCAGTATCCATTGACCTTCCTCCCATCCACCTCCAGGGGTACAAAGCACTCACTCCGAAGTCAGGGCCCTGCACCCCCACTTCCTGTGATTCACCACGACTCTCAGCCAGCCAGTAGAACAGAAGGTTTATTAGGGATGATGGGAATACAGTCCAGACCAGAGCTTGTAGGCATAAACAGGACCCCTTAGGCCCTTTTGGGGGGTGGGGGGCAGGGAGATTAGACCCCAGCCTTGGGGCTCTCTCCTCTTCCCCAGCCAACTCCCCAAACTGGAAACCCCTCCAGCCGACTCCCCCAGCCTCCCCCCAGCTCCTCTCCCAGCCTTTGTTCAGTTTCCTGGGCAGAAGGTGTCACCTGGACCCAACCCCCTCCTGGCTCAGGTAACAGGCTCAGGTATCGTCCCTCAAGCGAAGTCTCCCATCCCCAGTGAAACTCCCCTGCAACATCCCCAGGTCAAATCCTCCCCATTCCCTGCTGCGTCACAAGGGGGGGTCCTGGGAGCGGCCTGTCAGGTGGAGGAGGGGAGAGTGTCAGGGCGTCCCCGGGGGGGGGTCCCCGGGAGCAGCCTGCCGGGTGGAGGAGGGAGTGTCGGGGCGTCCCTGGGGGGGGGTCCCTGGGAGTGGCCTGTCGGGTGGAGGAGGGGAGAGTGTTGGGGCGTCCCTGGGGGTGTCCCGGGAGCGGCCTGCTGGTTGGAGGAGGGGAGAGTGTCAGGGCGTCCCCGGGGAGGGGCCGGGTGTGTGATGCCCCCCGTCTCTCGCCAGGCCCCCGTTCCACAGCTCCGATCCCCAGAAGATCTACAGCAAGATCCTGGACGGGGTGTTCTCGTTCCCGGCCTACATGAGTGAGGCCGCCTGCTCCCTGGTCTCCAAGCTGTGTCGGTAGGTGGGCCGGGCGCGGGCTGCAGCTCCCTGGCACCGCCGCATGCCCACGGCTGCCGGGTGGGCGTGGTGGGTGCTGGCCAGCCCACAAGGCCGGCTATAGGGCTCCAGGGCCTGACCCAGGGGAGTGAGGGGGGCACTGGGCTGGAGACTCCCTACCCTCCCGGTGAGCTCGTTGCTGAGCTGCGGGCGAAGGGCTCCCCCTGCCGGAGCTGTGCCATGGCCGGTGCTGTGTGAAGCTGCCTGGCAAGGGCAGAGCTGGGGGGGCTGCGGGGAGGGGGAGGGGCAATGTCAGGGCCCCCACTGAGCCTGTTCTCCGCACCCCCGCAGGCACCGGCCCGGGCAGCGCTTGGGCAACACCCGCACCGGCATCCGCGGCATCAGGAAACACCGGTAGGAGAGAAGCCAAGGGAGAAGGGGAGCCCACACAGCCAGGGCTCCCCCCTCCGGCCCCGCCCCCAACAGCGCCCCCTGCTGGGGCTTCCCTCCTCCGGCCCCGCCCCCAGCAGCGCCCCCTGCTGGGGCTCCCCCCTCCGGCCCCGCCCCCAGCAGCGCCCCCTGCTGGGGCTCCCCCCTCCGGCCCCGCCCCCAGCAGCGCCCCCTGCTGGGGCTTCCCTCGTCCGGCCCCGCCCCCAACAGCGCTCCCTGCTGGGGCTTCCCTTGTCCGGCCCCGCCCCCAGCAGCGCCCCCTGCTGGGGCTTCCCTCATCGGGCCCAGCTCCCAGCAGCGCCCCCTGCTGGGGCTTCCCTCGTCCGGCCCCGCCCCCAGCAGCGCCCCCTGCTGGGGCTTCCCCCCTCCGGCCCCGCCCCCAGCAGCGCCCCCTGCTGGGGCTCCCCCCTCCGGCCCTGCTCCCAGCAGCGCCGCCTGCTGGGGCTCCCCCCTCCGGCCCCGCCCCCAGCAGCGCCCCCTGCTGGGGCTTCCCTCGTCCGGCCCCGCCCCCAACAGCGCTCCCTGCTGGGGCTTCCCTTGTCCGGCCCCGCCCCCAGCAGCGCCCCCTGCTGGGGCTTCCCTCATCGGGCCCAGCTCCCAGCAGCGCCCCCTGCTGGGGCTTCCCTCGTCCGGCCCCGCCCCCAGCAGCGCCCCCTGCTGGGGCTTCCCTCCTCTGGCCCCGCCCCCAACAGCGCCCCCTGCTGGGGCTTCCCTCGTCCAGCCCCGCCCCCAACAGCGCCCCCTGCTGGGGCTTCCCTCCTCCGGCCCCACCCCCAACAGCGCCCCCTGCTGGGGCTTCCTCCTCTGGCTGGGAGAGGTGGGGCTGGACGAGCTGGGATGCCCTGTGGCCGGCGCTTCTGCCCCACTGACGCTGTCCTTGCTCCCAGGTGGTTTGGCTCGGTGAAGTGGAAGCGTCTGGCTCTGCGGCAGATCGATGCTCCCACCCTGGCGCTGATGAAGCAGGTGTGGGGGCTGCGGGTGGACCCCGGGTGAGGCTGGGGCAGGCCTGGGCTTGGTGGTCCAGTGTTCAGGGGTGATGGGCTGAGTCCTTGGCGCGGGACTGGGGGGGGAGGGGCTGCCATGCTCTGCCTCCATAGGGCCCCACAGCTCCCAGCATGCCATGCTGCACTGTGCCCCCCCCCATGAGCTGCATCACTCTGCCCACAGAATGGAGGCAACCTGGCATAGCATCCCCCTCACCCAAGCATGCCAGCCAGAGACCCTGCAACACAGGGGCAGGGAGGGCCCTCCAAGGTGGCACAGTCCAGACCGAGCAGCCCCCTGCTGTGGGGCAGCCCCTGGCTGCGGGAGCCTCATGCTGGGGCCAGAGCCGGGTGGGTGTCATGGGGCAGGTGGCGAGCCAGGGAGGGAGGACCCAGGCCAAGCCCCGTGTGGGGCAGGAGGCAGCTGCAGCTGTGACCCGGAGCTGGAGGAGACTGAGCCCCACACCCTCTCTCCACAGGGCCCGCCCTACGCCAACTTCAAGCGCTTCTCGGTAGACTGGACGCCGGCCGAGGAGGAGTTCTCGGGCTGGGACGAGGATTTCTGAGCAGCCGTGGGGCCCAGGCCAGCAGCACCACCAGGACTGGGGGATGGGGGGACGCTCTGCTAGTGGCTGCTGCCCTGTTGCTGAGCTGGGCACGTGCCCCCTGCCCACGGGAGGACGGGGCCCTGGTCTGCTGTTAGCCCTGGGCTGGCCCCTCTTGGGCACGGGGCCCCAGCCTGGCAGACCCCGCTGGTGGGGAGCAGAGGGCCCTGGGCCTGCACAGGCCTGTTCCTGAAAGCGGCTGCATGAGGGTGGGAGCTGCCCCGGGCCTGGCCCCCTGGGCTGTGGGCAATAAAGTCCCCTGTGTGACTCCATGCAGCCTGGTCCCGGTCCCTGCCGCGCTGCCCGTGGGCAGGGAGGGGCCTGCGGTGCCCAGGCAGGGGAACAAGGCTGGAGCAGCAATTCCGGCGTGAGCTGCTCCCGGGGCCCCGCGGCTCTGGCTGGTGCTCACGTGTGCCTGGCTCTGGCAATGGTGGCTTCTCCTGCTGGCTCTGCCCGGCAGCGCCGGCCCCCTCCCCCAGCGGCGCCTCCCCCAGGGACCCAAGCTGGCTCTGCCCCGGCAGGACTGAGGGGCAGCCCTGGGGGGGCTGCAAGGTGCAGGGGGGGTTCACCCCATGCCTGGAGCCCCCGCCGCAGAGCAGCGCCACGCTCAGGGCAGGCTGGGTGCTGGCCTTGCAGTTCTCTCCCGGGGGCTGCGTCTGGGCTGAGTCGGGCACCCCCCGGGCAACGCGCGTCTCGCCCTGGTGAGGAGCGGCCCACGGCACCAGGGTGGCTGGGGGGCAGCCAGGCTGAGAAGCGAGGCGGGGCCCAGGGTACAAAACACAGTGACTCTTCTTTATTAATACATGAAATAGATGCCCGAGCAGAGCTGGCCCGTGCCAGGGTAGGGCACCACCGCCCGCAGAGCTGGCCACGGGCCCCTCCCCCACATGGCTCCCTCAGCGGCAGGGCTGCCCGCCGGCTCTTCTCTGGTGTCGTCTGTGCGGGGCCGGGGCCCCCCAGTCCTGCGTGCCCCACGGGCGCCCTCCGGCCCTGGCGTGTGGGTGGCTGGGGTCTCTGCCTGGGGCGGTGAGGGGCTGAGGTGGTGAGCAGGAGCTGTGCAGCAGGGGCATGGCAGGCAGGTGCCCCTCAGGGCGGGCAGCAGGGCAGGAATGGGCGCGACAGGATGATAAATAACAGGGAGGTGCCGGTCGATGTGGGTCGGGGAGGGGCCTGGCTTCAGGGGAGGGGGATCCCCACCCCGGGCCTGGGGCATCCCTGCAGGATTTACAGCCCGGAGCATCCCTGGAGCCCCCGCAGCAGCTGGCCGGCCTGCAGGAGACACGTCCGTGGCTGGCCCCTGAGGAGCCCTGGCCATGAGCCCCCTGGGCCCCTCAGCCGGGTGGGCTGGGGGTAGCTGGGAGCAGCGAGGGACCCCGGGGCCGCTCTGGGCAGGGCCTGGGAGCCAGGAGCCCTCCAGCTCATTCAGGGCAGGGCTGCCCTGCTCGGGGGCGGGGGGGGCGCTGGGCTGGGCTCCACGGGGCACTCGCTGCCTCCTGAGCCCCTGCTGCAGCACATGGGGGTGGGCTGCCGGCCTGGGCTCCCCTCTCCCCATGCCCAGGGGGCCACGTCTCCGGCAGCTCCCCAGAGAGGCCAGGCCAGGCCAGCTGCGGTGGGGGTCCCCCTGCCCCCGGCTCTGATGGGGCACAGCCTTTGCAGCCCCGAGGGCGAGGGTGCTGCGGGGCCGGCCCAGGATGCAACGGGCCCGGAGCCCAGCTGGGCCCCTGCCCCGTGCCCAGGGGCAGCGTCACAGTGGGGTAGGGACTAGCCGGCCTCGTCCCCTGGGCTGGGGTACAGCAGCACCCCGCTGAAGACGGTGAGCGGCTCGTCGGAGGAGTGGGCCAGCTGGCCCGTCACCAGGTCCACGCAGAGCGTCTCGCCGGCCTCCAGCTGCAGCAGCAGGTTGAAGACACCCAGGGAGCCCGGGCTGGGCTGGTTCTCGGCCACCGGCTTGTTCTCCAGGCCCTCGGGCTGGTAGCCGCCCGAGTCGCTGCGGGCGATGCCCTGGTTGGAGCGCGACAGCACGGCCTCGACCTTCTCGCTCCGGTGCCCCGTCAGCACGGCGCTGATGAAGTACCGCCCGGACACGGGCACAGTGAAGACACCTGGGAGGGGGCAGCCCGTCAGCGGGGCAGGAGCGTCCCCCCAGGGGGTCTCATCACCCCAGGGCACTGCCCCTGGGGCCTGGGGGGGGGGGCTGAGCACGCGATGAGCCCCTGCCAGCCCTGCCCCGGGCTCCCCACACACAGCTCTGCCGGTGCCCCCAATCCCGCCCCCACAGCCCCCTGCTGCCCCAGCCCTGGGCTCCCCTCCCCCAGCCCTGCCAGTGCCCCCCAATCCCTCCCCACAGCCCCCTTCTGCCCCAGCCCTGGGCTCCTCTCCCCCAGCTCTGCCGGTGCCCCCAATCCCGCCCCACAGCCCCCGGCCAGCCCAGCCCTGGGCTCCCCACACACAGCCCTGCCAGTGCCCTCAATCCCGCCCCACGGCCCCTGCTACCTCATCCCTGGGCTCCCCACACACAGCTCTGCCGGTGCCCCCAATCCCACCCCACAGCCCCCTGCTACTCCATCCCTGAGCTCCCTCCCCCAGCCCTGCCAGTGCCCCCAATCCTGCCCCACAGCCCCTGCTACCCCATCCCTGAGCTCCCCTCCCCCAGCCCTGCCAGTGCCCCCAATCCCACCCCACAGCCCCCTGCTACCCCATCCCTGAGCTCCCCTCCCCCAGCCCTGCCAGTGCCCCCAATCCCGCCCCACAGCCCCCGGCTACCCCAGCCCTGGGGTCCCCCCCAAGCTCAGCCAGGGCCCCTGAAGCCCCCCCCCCCAGCCCCAGCTCTGCCAGTAACACTAAATTCCGCCCCCGCCCAGCCCCCTTGCTGCTCCCCCTCCTGAGCCCGAGGGGAGACCCCCTGGCCTGGGGCTGACGTGGACAGTCACTGCCGATGAGCAGGACACCCCAAACCAGCGCGGCAGCCCCCTGCTCTCTAGCTCACCCACACCAGCTGGGTACGAGGCACTGTGGGGGGCTGGCTATGGGGAGCTCCCGCCATGGGGCTGGCCGTGGGGCGCTGCTCACCGGTGTAGGGGTCGTAGGCGTCCCCGTCGTTCACCAGCAGCCTGTCGAAGGGGATGGTACCGGGCTCCACGTGCCGGGACGTCAGCGCGGCCGAGAAGGCGACTCTGGGCACCACGGCCGCCTCGCCCACCGGGCCTGGCACAGAGAGACGGGGTCGGCACGGTGCCATTAGGACCCCCCCGTTCCCAGCCTCCTCCCTGCCCCCAGGCAGGTCTGTGTCCCCCACAGCTCCTCGCCCATCACCCGATGCCCAGGGCCCCCAGCCAGTCACCCCCCCAGCTCTCCCTGCCCCCCGTGCCCGGGGCCCCCAGCCCACCCCCCCACCTCCATGCCATGCCCAGGGGCCCCCAGCCCGTCAGACCCCAGCTCTCCCTGTCCCCCACACCCAGGGGCCCCTATCCCACCCCCAGCTTTCCCCCACCCCCAGGGCCCCCATACAACCACACGCCCGGCTCTCCCCACCCCTGGCCCACCCCCCCCGTCCCTCCCCACAGCCAGCCTCACCTTGCTCGCCAGGGAGCCCTGGAAGAGAAGGGAGAGGGAGACGAGAGGTGAGCGCAGGGTGCTGGGGCTTGGCAGGGCCTGGGGGTAGCAGGGCGGGGGGGAGCTGTGCAGTGGGGCGGGGGGGTAGGAGGGCAGGGGGAGCTGTACAGTGGGGGGGTAGCAGGGCGGGGGAGCTGTGCAGTGGGATGGGGGGTAGCAGGGCGGGGGGAGCTGTGCAGTGGGATGGGGGGTAGCAGGGCGGGAGATCTGTGCAGTGGAGGGCTGGCAGGGCGGGGGAGCTGTGCAGTGGGGGGGTAGCAGGGCGGGGGGAGCTGTGCAGTGGGATGGGGGGTAGCAGGGCGGGAGATCTGTGCAGTGGGGGGCTGGCAGGGCGGGGGAGCTGTGCAGTGGGGATGGGGGGTAGCAGGGGCGGGGAGCTGTGCAGTGGGGGGGGTAGCAGGGCAGGGGGAGCTGTGCAGTGGGGCAGGGGGGTAGCAGGGCGGGGGAGCTGTGCAGTGGGGGGGTAGCAGGGAGGGGGAGCTGTGCAGGGGGGGGTAGCAGGGCGGGAGATCTGTGCAGTGGAGGGCTGGCAGGGCGGGGGAGCTGTGCAGTGGAGGGCTGGCAGGGCGGGGGAGCTGTGCAGTGGGGATGGGGGGGTAGCGGAGGGAGGGGGGAGCTGTGCAGTGGGATGGGGGGTAGCAGGGCGGGGGAGCTGTGCAGTGGGGGGCTGGCAGGGCGGGGGAGCTGTGCAGTGGGGGGGTAGCAGGGAGGGGGAGCTGTGCAGGGGGGTAGCAGGGCGGGAGATCTGTGCAGTGGGGGGTAGCAGGGCGGGGGAGCTGTGCAGTGGGGATGGGGGGTAGCAGGGAGGGGGAGCTGAGCAGTGGGGCAGGGGGGTAGCAGGGCGGGGGGAGCTGTGCCTGCACCGGGGTGGGGGATACAGGGTGAGCACCCAGGAAAGGGGCCCCTGGGGTGGCCGGGGCGTTGGCTCATGGCCAGGTTCTGGTTCCCCGGGTGCCGCCTGGCCTGGGCCGGGTTCTCCTCTATGTGGAGCGGGGGCCACAGGCCCCAGGGCAGCGCACGAGGGGCAGCGCAGCCCTGGCTCAGGGTCTGTGACCCCCTAGGAGCTCGGCCCGTTGCTGGGGGCCATTGGGGCATTGCCTCCCCCGGCCCCCCATCGAAAGCGGCTGTGCCAGGCCGGGTTTCCTCGTGGCTCAGGCTGGTCCCTTGGTGGCGCAGGCGGGTGGGAGGCCGACACCCGTGCGGGTGGGCGCCTGGGGCGGGCAGGGGTCAGGCCCTGTGGCACCCGCGTGAGGCTGTGGCTGTAACCAGAGCCGTGGGGCCCGTGAGGTGGGGAGGGAGCGGAGGGGCAGCCGTGGGCAGTGGCTGAGTTTGTGCCATGACCCTGCGATGGACCCAGCCACTCCCCTCCCCGTGGGGCAGGGCTGCTCCTCACCTGGGGGTCCCATGGGACCTTGTTCTCCGTCCTTGCCTGAGGGCCCTGCTGGCCCTGAGGGACCCGGTCTTCCCATGGGGCCTTCGGGTCCAGGTGGGCCGGGGGGGTCCTGAAACAGAACCCAGAGAGTTAGAGCTGCCCCCCTGGGCCAGTAGGAGCCTCCACCCCCACCCCCCTGAGCGTCCGCCCCCGAGATCGGAGCCCTGGATCCCACCCCAATCCACCCCCTGGAACCAGCCAGTCCCCACCAAGGGGCAATCGGAGCCA